CGTTTTCTATGAGTAGGGTGAGAGTTAAAATGACTTTAGGGCCAAACTCTAATATTAATGATTAGGTGAGTACTACTAACAGCTACTCTTTAATTGCAAGATTAGTACATGGTTACTTGCTTTATATTAGGTGAGAGTATTTTGAAATTATGTATGAGAAGGGTGGACTGGGTAACTAACAGAAGGAATGTAGTGAAAGTGTATTGTTTTGTTAAACATCTCTTTCACTCTTTGCCAAATAGCATGACCTTCTTTTGGAAACTGTCTCCTATTCTTTGAGGTTGCTGATGGAGCTGGGTGCACCTTGCAAGTGCCTGCTATGTGCATCAAACTTCTCAGATTCCATACCACGCTATAGATTCCACTGGATGATTCCACCCTGGGAGCCCCAGGAATGTGATAGCTTCCCGTGTCTTGTCAGCTAAAGGTAGCACAGTTCCCTCTTGCTGTTGCTAATCTCTGGGCAACATCCCCATTGCTTCTTTGACACTTAGTTATTCCATCACCTGTGTATCTCATCCCCTGTATTGAATTCCCTGTGTTGTAAATAAAATGGTTTATATTCTTTGGTTAGATCTTGACTGATAAAATGACCTACCTTTTTTGGGTTGACACGCTCAAAGATTGACTAGTTTCCTTTTAATAACAATTCTCAATTCTCTTAGAAAGAGAAACTAACCGACTGGTTTGTTTCACGTTCTTGATGAGGGATTAGAATGGGGAGAAAGGAGAGGTGATTGAGGGTGGTTGATAATTCTTATTGTGAACTGGACAAACATCTCCCAAAGTATTCTGGTATAAGAACATAGAATGGGGAGCAGGGTATCTAAATGTTCATGTTACCCTACAGTACGTTGAGCATTTTTATTAGCCTCACAATCTTTATTATAATCTCAATCCCATTTATAGCCAAAACAACTCAATCTTTCCTAATTTCTTAACAGTGAAAGTTTTTACCTTATTGTTATTCTCTCTACCTGGGGTTAGCTGCACTTTAATGGATGGCTAAGACCCCAAAGAACAAGACAATTTAGATTTTTTTTTTTTTGGTGGTACTGGGGTTTGAACTCAGGACCTCACACTTGCTAGGCAGGTGCTCTATCACTTGAGGCACTCTGCAAGCCCCCAACTTCTTGATATTACTCATAACAGTGACCGGAAGCAATAGTATGAGAATGGGGCCGAGGAAGTCCTAGAATGGGGGTGTGTTTCAGTTCAGGTCCTCAGAGAAGCAAGAAAATCAAGATGGGATTGGAGTCACAGAAGTTTTATTGAGAGAAGAGCAATAAAGGATAAATGGAAGGAAGAAGTATGGGCGAAGGGGGATAGGGAGAGTCATACCACAGTGTAGATCTGTAACTTGGGAAAGCTAAAGGGAAAGATGCAAGATTTATTAAGATTAGCCTTAGACTGGTGCAGTTCTAAGAAAATTTTGATGAAGATCTGAGTGGGTTATTTCCATGGATGCCCCAAAGGATAGCAAAGGAGATGATTCTTGATGTCAGTCCCTCCCTCCCCCATAGCCCATGCTTACCACAACACTGTCACTTCCTACTGGACAATGCCATAGTACAGGATGTGCATCTTTTTTATAGTCTAGGCCATTATGGTAATTTCAGGATCTGATAATGGACAGTTTATCTGGGCAAGGTGAATGGCACAGTTAAAAAAAAAAATTTCTCCTGGGATGTGGATGGTGGCCTTGCCAAAGTAGGCCAGGCTGAGAGTCCATACAGGCAGAGGCCTAGGAGAAAGCCAGTCATTGCCAAAGGCTGTCCCTTCAGCTTCCTTTCCCTAGGGATTTGCATTTTTTGTGCTTCACTTTGTCCCATGCCCCAAGATAAAGAATGCACATAAGATGTCAAAGCAGAGAATCAACTAGCACACAAGTAGCTGCAAAATCAAATGCCATAATGGTTATTTTTCTAAGAAAGCTGATGTTGGTTTAATTTTTCCTTAAACATATGAATTGTGTTATAAGTAGCATAACTTGAAATGAATTTTTATGCAATGCTTATATTTTATGGAGTTATTAATCATCAGCTTTATTACTTTAGTTTCTTTTCCCAAGATTAGATTGTAGGCCCCTCTTTGCCTTGTCATGGTGTTCTATATTGACTGGGGTATAACAGTTCCTTCAGGTTGTTTGGTAGGAAGTAAAACAGTGAGAAGCCAGAGAAAAGGTGGGTTCCTAGTACTACTGTTGTGACCACTGCAGCTGCATTCTGTGATGCCACATGGCCTCCCAGTCTGGGAATCACCAGGATAGAGGTAAGGGCAGATGAGTGGGTTGGTTTCCCAAACCTCCTTATTTTTTGCCGGACAATAAACCCCTCAGGTAATCTAGGTGCTGGGTGACTCTTCCTTGCATTGTGGAAGAACCTGGTTAATCCTTAGTAGTTCATGAAAAGAGATAAGGATCTGTGGTGAGTAATGTTTTTCAGGCTGGAAAAGAAAGCCCCTATGTACATTGTAGGATATCAGTTGTTTACCTTCATGATTATGTGGCTCAATGCCAGCCAGCAGTAGCTTGCTTTGCTGTCCAACATCAAGAGAACCCTGAGTATCACTAGCCCAGGAAAAGATAAAAATTCAAAGTTTCTACTGAATGTGAATAACTTTCACACCACCAAAAATTAAGTCGGGGTTGTTTGCACTGTTTCTTCATCATATACACATCCCAACATTAGGATTTTTGATGCTAGTCCTGTTTCTTGACAAGCATTTCGGTATGCAACAGTCTAACACTAATGATGACTAGTCTAGCCAGAACTCCATTTAGGAAGCTTTTACATTTCTTTTTTAATTTAAAAAAATTTTAAAACTTTTTGGTGGTACTGGGGTTTGCACTGAGGGTCCTGCAGGCATACTTAAACCACACTCCAGCCCTTTCATGCTTTAGTTATTTTTCAGATAGGATCTCCTACTATGTGTCTTTTGCAGTTAGGATTACAGACATGAGGCACCACATCTGGCTTGGCTTATTGGTTGAGATGGGGGCCTCACATTTTGTTGGGCCAGCCTTTGGCTGATTCTTCAGGTCTCTTATCTCCCAAGTAGCTGGGATTACTGAGATTACAGGCCTGTGCCAACTGCCTGGCCTTTTACATTTTACTAGGCCTGATTAATTTAGCCAGAGGCATGACTTAACCTATTCAACTGGTTCAGCTTATGCAACTGAAAGAAAGGCATCAGAAAGAGTGAATCCATGGATGAAAGTGGAGCCTTGGTCCACTTACAAAGACCTTCTACACAGGCACCTTCCTTTGAAGCTAGCTAAGTTTTAGAAATCTGAACTTTCTCTGCCTTGGTTTCCTTATTTGGGACTCAACAGAATCAATTTGCTTTGGAACTCTTTGTAAAGATAGGCTAATAAAAGATGATAAACTTTTTTACTAGGTGAAGCATATAGCACACTAATTAACATTAACATTCAAAGGCTTTCATATTGAGGAAGTAAACACCAGCATTCCTCCTTCTTAGGTTAAAGGGAATTTAAAATCACGATTAAGCGGATGTGCGGTAGGGATACGGCAACATGAACGTGTGGACATGACTTGCCTTCTGACAGTTGTCAGATCGTTAGGGAGATACAGAAAGTTTAGCATTGTGGGCTTGTAAAGAATAACTTGTCTATTTCTATAGGTTACATTACACAGTAAGTCTGCAGGAAGTGCTTGTGAGTACTGCAAAATAGAGTGAGCGAGGTCCACTCATAGAAAAGTGTTGAATGTATATGGCCATTTCCATCCTAGAAGGGTATGTCCCACGTTCACAGCGGGCTCCCAAGAACTGACCAGTCTCCTTCCTCGCAGTCCTACCCTGGGACGGTCATGGCGGGTATGGTTCTCTGATTAAGACCCAGTAGCAAGCTTCCAGCTGCTGGGGAGGCCACAGCGAAAGCTGAGGGCAAAAGCCTCGCTGCGCATGCGCCCGGGCAGCCGGCAGACTACGCAGAACCCGGTCCACAGCTCCCTCCCAACTCCTGGGCCCCAGAGGGCCACCGGTCCCACCCAGCACGAGCTCACAGCGCGCCCGCGGGAAGTCTCCAGCCCCGGGCACGCGCCTGCGCACGAGTTCCCCGGGCCCGGGCGGGCTGCGGGGTTAGAGAGGTGGAGCGCGGGGCGGGCGCGCGGCAGGAGGCGGCCGTCGTTACGGCGCGAGCGTGGTCACGTGGTCGCTGGTCACCGCCGCCAACCCCCCCACCCCTCCCGCCCTGTTCTCTTTCAGGTCGGGCCGGGCCCGGCCGGTTCCGCGAGCGCCTGACAGACTGAGGGAGAGAGAGTGAAAAGAGAGGAAAGGGGAAAAAAAAAAAAAAAAAGGGGAGGAGAGGAGGATGATTCAGGGAATTCAGGGACTAGGAGCTGGGGAGCTCTTCTGCGCCACAGGTAAAACAAAATAATGATAATCGTAAAAAAGCTCCAGCCCTGCGAGTGCAGCCCCACACGCCGTCCTCCCGCTCCGCCTGAGGGCAGCTCGTGCCTCTCCTCCCGGGAAGGCCTGAGGTGGCCGCGGCCGGGCCGCCGCCCCGCCCCGCCCCCGTCGGAGCGCCGTCGGGGACGGCGCGGGTTGGGGGCGGGGACCGGGGGGCTCGCACAGCTCTGGGGCAAGGTGGGGGGGCTGAGGGTGGCCGGGGTCTCGGCTGCCAGGCCCGCGGCAGCCATTGGGCAGAGTTGGTGGAGGAGCCCGCGCCACTTCCTACTTGGTCAGCTTCCCGTGCATTTCGGCTGAGCTCGGGGCTGCACGCTGGCTTCCTTCCCGGGCCGGAAGCGAAACCGTGCGAAGATGCAGCCTTTTGCTTCGCTGGGCCTGCCCTTGACTGTGAGCGTCTTCAGCTGTCAGCGTGCAGCTGCGAAGGAAACTTTGCACACAGGGTGAAACGATGTATTGCCTCCTCTACTTTTCGTGGACACACACAAGCCTTCCAAAACAAGGTTCCGTTCTACAAGTGGGTTAATGCTATAGCTTTTTTTTTTTTTTTTTGGTGGTTTGAACTCAGGGTCTTGAGCTTGCTGGGCAAGGGCTCTAACTCTTGAGCAACACCCCCAGCCCTCCTACTAGTTATTAAATATTTTCAAGAAGGTGAATCCTTGTTTAAAGTTTACATCTTTTAGATTCCACCCCCCCCTTTCTGTATAATGACTTTTTGGAGTTTAATTTGTGAACTCTGAATTGCATTAAATCCTGAAAGTTTAACATGCAGGATGCTCACATTTGGACTGGATTCCCCTAAAATTTCAGTCACTCTTTTGTATTCTTAGTACATTCAAAATATAGTCCCAGTAAAACTATACGTTTAGTGTTGTGCTACTGCAAAAATAAAAGCAGGCGGTAAATGTAGGCATTGCTGAACAATAAGCATTTGAATGCTTTTGATATTAGTGACAAGGAAGTTTACTTATGGGTTGTTTCTCTTCCGGCTTTTCTGATTCCATCTCTTGGTGATTTTCACATCAGCGCTCTGAATTTGAATGTAACTAAAACTATCTGCAGCTGTGTCCTATAGTGCAGCGCTCAATCTTGATAGAGTCCGTAGGAATCACTTGGGACGATTGTTTAAAAACATACCAATTCAGTAGTAAATGCACCTTGATTATTCTGCATTTCTAAGGTGCAGCTGGACAAGACACTGTCCTGCAGTACCAGGGATGTAGATAACTTCTGTGCGAAGAAATAAAAGTTTCTGTAAGTGAACATGTTCCTTTTAGCAGTCCAGCCTGGCTGGAGAGGTGGATTGGTAGAAGGGTCAAGTGACAGTGTACTGAGAAAGCTTGCGTAGGGAACTACCTTATGGAGAGGGAGCCAAGTGTAGATGCCAGGGAAGGGAATAGGAGTGTAAATACCTTGTCTATGTGCTGTGTGGTGCCTTACATCCACTGATCTGTGATTTTCTTTTTTCCTGTAGCAGTTTGGTGTACTTCTGGTTCAAAGGCTTGCTCAGCTGTTAAGCAGTTGAGTTTTATCAACATAGTGTGTCTCTGAATGTAGTGCTGAGATGAAAGTTTGTTGTCGAGGCAGAAAAATTCAGTGTCTGCTTTCTCTCCCAAATGCAGCCGCAGTTGCTGAGTGCATTCCCAAGTCTTTGAAGCAAATTTTTAAACAATTGAGAGTTACACTTACTGTGGGTTTCCTACCTGGATTCATATTTTTTCTAATGTAATTTTTATAATGTAAATTAAAGAGTATAAAGCATCACATATAACTCAATTTTTACAAAATGTACTTAACTTTTTTAATGTGCTGGGGATCGAACTCAGGGCCTCGTGTGTGCTAAGTAATGAACTTTTTAAGAACTTTATGGAAGTATGAAAACAACTAGCTTCAGTCCCATACATTTTATAGTTGTCATTTTAGTCATTATTTTGTTTCTTCTGTTATTAAATTATATGTACAACAGTACTTTTGAAGCAATTCTTTTAATCCTCACAACAACTATTAAGTCACATGTCTGGAGTTTCTACAACTTACGGAGAGCTGAAATTCTGACTGGCTAACTTTAGAGTCTTTGCTATTAACAATCTTTCTATAGCTGCTTTTTAAATTATTATTTAAAAAGTGAATTAATGATCTTCTCCAGTTCATTTTTCTTAGCGTTGTTGAGAACTAGGAGTTTTACTTTCATTTTATTTTTTAGTTAAAAATTTTTTGTTGGCATGGGGTTTTGAACTCACAGCTTTGTGCTTGCTAGGTAGGCACTCTACCAAATTTCTTTGATCTCTGGAGATAAAGATAAAGGATGTAGTTTATAATTTTGTATGTACTTATATTCATCATAGTGCCTTTATTTTTGACTAGACAGCTCAGAATAGGGGTTGGCGTGATACTCCTTAAATACTCATTAATTTGATAAAACATCTACAGATAATATTCAGTCACTGTTCAATGCTGCTTGTGAGTTCCGTGACTGACTCCATAAAAATGTTGAGTAGTTGAAGATTTATCAGATTTCTTAACTCAGTTGCCTAAAAAATGTAGCTGTTGGATTACTATTTTGAAACAAAATAGTCTTAAAAGATTTGAATAGGTGTTAACAGATGTTTCATAAATTTTTGTTAAGACAAGAATGCTTGCTTTACTACTTTGCTGGTTATGAAGCCTACATTTAGAAGAATGATTGATGTTTAAAAATGAGTTGGGTTTAATTTTGTGTGATAACTTAGGGCAGAGTAGCTGTGGTAAACAGTCTTACCGTGGATGCATTTATTAGGTCCAATAATCACAGAATGATAGTTTAGCTTGTCTTTAGGAAAAAATGGTTTTTCTGTTACAAAAAGTAATGCCTGTTGTGAAAATTTCATAAAAACAAATAAACAATTATAGTAATGACGTTTCTGTTAATGATGGACTACATCTATGATGGTGGTCCCATAAGATTATAATGGAGGTGAAAAACTATCCACTAGTAATGTGGTACCTGCTGTAGTGCAAAACAGTACTTAAATGTTTGTGGTGATGCTGCAAACCTGTTGCACTGCTAGTTATATAATACATAGCACCTACATTATGTGAAGTTCAAAATACTTGGTGATAGTGCTTGCGTATATATTTAGTATACTTTTTGTTACTATTTTAGAGTGAACGATTTACATAAAAAAGTTTAGTGTAAAATAATATGCTTTGTTACTTCCGCAGAAGCTTCATATATCTGTGTTTGGCATTTCTCTCTCTCTCTCTCTCTCTCTCTCTCTCTTTCTCTGAATGATGCAAGGGATTAAACCCAGGGCCTTGCACATGCTTGGCAAGTGCTCTGCCACTGAGTTACACCCCCAGACCCAAATGTGTCATGATATATCAAGAGACCACATTGAGTGATTTACCTATAGTGTATTTATGATGTTTGCACAATACAGTTGTTTAATGGCACATTTTTCAGAATATACCTAGCACTGTTGTTAGCTGTACATGATTGTACCTGGTACCTGCACTGTTGAATTCCTTAAAATTCTCCTCAGAGCTATCTTGCCTTGGGAGATGCTGGAACACAAATGATGGTTTTGTACTTCAAGTTTAAAGCCTTGGTTAGCAAGAGTGTTTCATCTCCTAGAGTTACTAAGATTTTTGTTCTTAAGTTTAAGATAAAAAGTTGAACCAAAAGTAATTGGACCCCCATTTTTAAATAGAGAATAATTAAATGAATAAGAGGTAAACGCCTACTTGATATGACCACCTAGTGTTACATGAACTGGCAGGGAACAGCCCCCACCTTCTGATGGAGTTGGGGTGATACAATGCTTCAAGAAGGCAAAGCCCAAGGTTCTGATTGCAGGAATGTACTTTCTGTTTGCAGGTAACCAGTGGGGATTAGAATAGGGTTTCCCAGGACAAGGTATCTTTGAAGGTGTTCCAGAAATTCCAGAGAAGCTACTAACCTTACACCTCTTGTGGGATGAGATAGATGCCCCTGAATCCCTGGTGAAGCAGGTGATGCAACTCTTTCTCTTTGTCTACTCATTAAAGTAGGCTGCTTTTACTTGCATGAGATATGAGAGTCTTCTGATAAGAATGCTTATTTTGATAGGTAGATGTGAATGGCTCAGTGAAACTTGGGAAAAGTTGTGTCTCCACCCACCTTTATTTCTCTAAATAATGTGGGGATTAGTTTTAATCTGAATGCTGTTAATTTTAATCTCTCTGTCTTGTGGGGTGTGTGTGTATACACATGTATAAACCTTAAAACAAAATAAATCCCAAAATAGACTTAAACAGATAAGAGCAACAAAAAAGTATTTCATTTAATATCTTACTCATGTCATTACTCTTCTATATACATTTTAGCGACTGTATATTATTTCATTTTATGTAGTCCTAAAAGTAGTTCTCTATTTTTGGACACCTGCATTTCTTTCCTGCTTTCTGGACAAGTAATACTACAATGAATATTATTGTAGCTAATATTCCTTTGTACTTATGCAGTAGAGAAAATTGAGTGGGATTCTGGGCCAAAATATGTGCCTGTGTTTAACAGTTTTGGTAGACTTGGCCAACTCTACCAAAGTTTATATCGGTTTATCCTTTGCTGCACAGATCAAATCATAGTGGTACTCTTATTTATTTTATATGATGGATTTTCAGTTGATTTTTCCAAGGTAGATAAAATCATACCATCTGGAACCAGCCATTTTTGTGTAAGGGATTTTTTTCATGATTAATTTTCAGTTACGGAAGCTGTGCTGAAATGATTTTCTTAATTTCGTTGACTTGAAATACAGTGTTTTGATATGGTACCATTGTGATGTGATCTGTGCAGCTCTCCAAAGTGTTGTAAAATATCTGGAATACCACTCCAATAAATGATCTCTCAGGATCCTTCAAGCATAGTTTTGTGGTTCTACATTTAGGTCAAAAGACTCCTGTTAGTATACACAGCTCTCTGGTACTATTAAGTTATTAAAGTGCCTTGTAGCTTCCTTTATAGTTGTGGTCATCTAGCTCCACCCTCCTAGCAATTACTCTGAGGTTTTACACTTTTTATCTTTTTGAAGCTTGAAGGTCTTTTTTCTATGTGGTCGGGCAGAAATTAAAAGAAAAAAAAAATGGTCATACCAGAGAATTCAGATTGTGCAAGTTAGTGTAGCCTATTCACAATATCAAGTCTCACGATTTTCCTTTTCTGGTCAGGTGAAATAATTTTCTAATCTCTATTGTGAGTTTTCTTTTTAAGTCATGTCCCAGCTGTAGGCTATAGTTCTCTAGGCCAAATTCTGAAATTGTTAAAACCAAGTGTAATGAAGCCATTGGGAAGTGATAAATAGACCTGGATGCAGTGAAGGTAGGAATTAGGAAGTGCCTGGCCCATTTCTAATTTGATTAGCCTTCTGAATTCCTTTCTTTTCGTCCTATTACTGATTTTCTGGCTCCTTCCTTATTCCCAGATACACCTTATTTCCTTTCTTTCAGAGAATAATTCTCTACCTTCTTTTTTCTTGGATTGAGAGTACTGATGTTTTCCACTGGTCTGGGTAGTGGGTCTGATCACCCTAATCACTTCCTTCATGTCACAAAACAACCTGCAAAATGCTCTGTAAGTAGAAGTTATCCTACCTTGCATAGGGTGTGGCAAACTTGGCTTTTCTCATAACATAGAAGCATAAAGAAATGAGAAAGATATCTCATAATGACAAATTATCAGGACTGTAACTGAGCGGTTAAGGATTATAAAGGAGATAGTTAGTGAGGGATTAGTGTTAGAAAGAGTAAAGTCTTCTAAAGAACTGTTATTTTACATCTCCAACCCTGGTTTCTTTCCTGAGGCCTGTGTGTCTGATTGCCTACTATAGAACTTGACTTTGGATGGCCCACAGGAAACTCTTATTCTGAGTATGTGCAACTGAATTTACTATCTTCTCTTTTAAAACCTATTTCCTAGCTGGCCACTGGTGGCTCATGCCTGTATTCCTAGCTACTCAGCAGGGAGACATCAGGAGGATCAAGATTTGAAGCCAGCCCAGGCAAATAGTTCTTGAGACCTTATCTGGAAAAAACCTATGACAAAATAGAGCTGGCAGAGTGGTTCAAGTGGTAACAGTGCCTGCCTAGCAAGCATGAGTACCTGAATTCAAACCCTAATCCTGCCAAAACAAAAACAAAACAAAAAACCTACTTCCCCTCCAGAGGATTAAGAAATTTTTTAAAAAGAATTATAGCGGATGACAGTATCATCATTTCCCGTTGTGCAAGCCAGAAACCTGGCAGACACATTTTTCTCCCTTGTCCCACATGCTCATGTCACACTGTGAATTCTACTTCTTGAATCCACTGCCTTTTCATCCCCCTACTTTTTCTTTGGCTTGAGTCCCCAAGATCTCTTACCTGTGTCTCCATTAAAGTCCTTTGACTGGTACCCCTGTAGCCAGGTGATTTCTCTTTAAGCTTTTACCTGATTCTCTTACTCTGTAGCTAAAATGCCAATATTCTTTGTTGTCTTTTTTTTTTTTTTCAGTCATGTTACCCTCTTCTGCCTCCCTTCAACTATGTGATTTAGTTCCAAAATACTGATTTTCTTCAACTTTTGTAGCTGTGTGTGTTTTTGCTTATTACCTTGGGACCTGAATATTCTTCCGATCTCTTTTATCTTACTGACTTTTGTGAAATATCAGTTTAAGCTGACCCTCAGGAAGCTCCTTATACCACCAAATCTGTGTTGTGCCCTTCCTGTTTAGCCACATGTCCTATACTGCTCTGTAATACTTATAATGCATTATTATCTTTCTTATTCACTGGTCAGTGTCTTGCTTTTGACAGCTTTGTTGCCAGGGCCATGTGCATCATCTTTACTCTCATACTTCTGGTACTGTGTCTATTAAAAGTAGACATCCCACCAAGTACTGTTCAAGTGCTGAAAATATAACAGTAAATAAGAGGTCGTTCTTATCATTAACTGCTGTGTGATAAACTTAATAGCTTAATAATAGCTTAATATTTACTCATGATCCATAATTTGCACAGGACTCAGTGGGGGAAGATGGTCTGTTTCACCCAGTGTTGACTTAGTGAGGGTAGGAGTATCTGTATACGAGATAGCTCAATTCACGTGGCTAGTTGCTGTCTAGGAGCTGAGGTAGGGCTGTTGGCCAGAGCACTTAGATGAGGCCTTTCCTTGTAGCCTGATTATGACTAATGACTTCTGAGAGAGAATGCTCCAAGAATGAACATTTTTAGAGGCAGAAAGAAACAGCTGGTTCTTTTGAGAGAGAAGGCTTGGAACCCATATATTATTTCTGCTCTATTTTATTGGTCAAGAAGATAAAAACTCAGCCCAGATTCAAGGGGAGGAGAATAAACTATCTCTTGAGGGAGAAAGTGGCAAAGAATTTGTAGCTGTATTCAGTGAACTACACTGACCTAACAAACAAAAAATAAAACTACAAAAATTGTTGGATGAATTAATTCCTATTTATATTTAATCTTCTCAAGAATTATGACAGTATATTGTTAAAAAAAATCAAACAAAGTTAACTTTCCCCTTTTTTAAAATTACTATTTTTTGTTTTTTTGGCACTTCTGGGGTTTGAACTTTGGGCGTTGAGGCAGGCACTCTTCACTTAAGCCACGCCCCCAGGTCTTTTTGATTTGGCTATTTTTGAGATAGGTCTCCCACTTTTTTTTTTTTTTTTCCTCTGGCTAGCCTGGACCACAATCCTTGTATTTTTGTGTCCCTTGTAAACTGAGATTACAGGCATGTGCCACCAAACTCAACTTTTATTGATTGATATAGGGGCTTAACATTTTTGCCCCAGCCAGCCTCAAACCATGATTCTCCTGATGTCTGCCTCCTAGTAGCTAGGATTACACACTTGAGTCACCATATCCAGCTATTCTCATTCTTTGAAGCAGTTTTACTTAATGTTCTCTTTTTTAGCTATTACTCATATGGTTTCTTAATTTTTAAATTTTGTGCATCAAATTCAGTTTAAATCAGTTTTATGTTCTTTTCAAACATTTCACCTTTCATAAATTCTCATGAACTGATATTACTCAGATTTGTAGAATTGGAGATTATTGTATCAAAGAGAATGTATAACTTAGATTTTGGTACTTACTGCCATACTACCTGACAGAAACATAATTTATATCTCAGCTTTTAGTGCAAGAAAGGACTCATTTGCCCATAGACTTGGTACAAGATTGCATTGTAAATCATAGTTTTCCGTCAATCTGTGAGAAAAATTGAAAGACTGAATTTTCTTCATATTTCTTTAATTGCCATTTATGCCGTTTGTCAATTTTGGGGGGTGTTCACTTTTTTTCATACTGATTTTCAAGAACTCTTTGTATATTGGAGCTTTTGAAAAACTCTGCATGTTACATGTTGTCTTTAAAATTTTACCTATCAAATTCATAATGCATAGAAAACTATGATGTTTTTGTTTCAGTTACTTACCAGGTATATGGATGAGGCTGTGATATAAAATGCATTCCTTATAGGAGAGCAGTTTTTTGGAAAAGGAGTAGTATGGAAGATACGATGGTCAGGCAGAGACTAGACAGCAGGTGTTCAACTTTATGTTCAGCAGTTCAGACACTGAGTAACCAGGTGGAGCCACTGACCAGGAAGACTTGATAAAACTCTCCCGTCAGCACAAGCCATGTACAGAGTGCAGGAAGTAGGTTGGGGTGGTAGCTTGGAGTGCTGATCTCATTTTTGGGTCTTTGTTTCACTGAGAAATAAATACTAATTCGTAATTACTTAGGATCTTTTTTGAGGTAGGTCCTTCTTGTAATCTGTTTATTTTCAGAACCCGAAAATAATAAATGCTAAGTAGTGCTCTCTTTATTGTTTATAAAAGTATTATTTAAGGTTAAAATGTGTGAAAATTTGATAACATTAAAAATTCTTAAAATGCTAACCAAGGGTTATCATGTTTTACCCTTTTTCTAAAAAAAAAAAAATTACTGGTTTATTTTTAGTTTGAAATTGCTCTCAAGGCATATTATTTTAGAGAAAGAAGGGAGAATAGTTAATGGAATTACTGTCTTGATCCAGGTACTACTAAACTGAAATTCTGCTTCTGCTTAGGTAGCTTGTGAAGCTTTTGTAGCCTTTTTGGTTTTCTGTTTCCTTACTGTGAAATTGCCTCATAAGAGTTTTAAATGAAATGAAGAGGTTTATATAAATGTCTGGAATTTTATACTCATCAAGTGCTTGTTATTAATGTCAGGTCTCTCTTTACGTCTCTCATTCTTCCATTCTTCCAAAGTCTATAATATTAAATACATCTTTTGCTTTAGTTTGGTGATTGATGGGAGTATTATTTATTTATTTATTTTGGTGTGGAGATCAAGAAAATACATTCAGAGATTAAGAAGCATTACTTACTAAATGAAACCAAATTATAGGTATTCACTCTGTCCTAGAAGTACTTCATTTCCCAGATACTGTATGGATAATGAATAAATTATCAGTCTTGCTCTATTAAGGGAATTTCATGAAAGGGGAATTGAGAAGTCCTGTATGATCAGTTGTTAACATTGAGCTGTTTATAAATTGAGTGATTCTTTCCAGCTTTTATATTTTATGATCTTAAAAATGTATGAAATATGTTTGGATAAACATCTTTTTATCTTATTAGTATAGTTGAATTTGTCTTAAAAAAGGATTGAGTTTGTGGATTTGAATGTCACTGACAGGAGGTCTTTAACATTTTTTTCCCCTCTGAACAGATGTCTTGGCCTGCAGTGACTCCAAATCCTATAATCCTTCCAATTTTCTCCTTTACTAAATAAGTTTCAAAAAAGTGACATTTTTATTGTAAGTGATTGACTTAATTCAGGCAAATATTGCAGCTGAGCAAAGACTTCATCCCAATGAGGAATATTTTGGTATGAATAAAATGCTGTATTCTTTATTTTACTTTTAAGAATTTAATGTATGATTTTCTCTCTATATCTGTGTTTGGAATGTTTGTGTTACAAGTTTTCTTCAGTTGAAAGTTTTTAAATGCTTGACTATGCTGAAGAATTAGTGCTGATACATTCTTTCTTAAATAGCATTTAAAGGCAGAGTTAGTCAGGATTCATCTAGAAAATAGTAGCCATAGTAGGTCATTCAACAGAGTAAACAATCCAGGAACTAGTTCATAGGCAGTGGGATTGCTTAGAAGCCAAATTGGGACTGTGGGACAACCCAGATATTAGCCCACTAAAGGAAGCCTCATGCTGGTAATCAGGCATGGAGGAAAGTCATGTTGCCGGAGTGCAGAGACTAGGGCTGTGTGAGAAACTCAAGCCCTCATAGGGCTCATGGTGGAAGCTGGGATATCAGAAGGCTGAATGGTCTTGGGGGAACTAAAGCGAAAGAGACAGCTTTGCGAGGGATGCGGTAGGAAGTAGCGAGAGAGGAGGAGAAGTGCCAACTTCTCCTTTTTGCCTTCTACAGTAAGCCTACCTTATTTGTGAATTTATCACATGAGGTTTTGACCAAGCATAGTCAAAAATTAAAAATAGAATTCAAAACTAAAAAATTTAAATTCCTGCATGTGTGTTTTACAGCTCAGTTAATGCTGAGTCCCATGTTACTGTGTGATCTGCTGAGTTTTTTCCTGCTCTTAATTTTGTGAAAATCTGCCCCCCAAAAGGCAAATGGTACCAAAACAAGGTAAACTGAATGTGCTTATTTAAATGATAAAGTGAAAGATTCAGATTTGTTGAAAGCAGTATGTCTTTAGCAGAAATTGGGCACCATGATGGGATAAATGAATCAAGCATCCTAAGATAGTCCTCATTGCACTCTGTGCATTCTGAGCTTGTGTGGGTTCTCCTCCATGGCACTCTCCTTGGAGCCCATAGTCCCATGGATACCGAGGGTCTACTGGAGTTACCTGTCAGTGCCTCCCCACAGTCCTGATCTTTGCCAGAGGGTAAGGGTGTTTGGGGATTCTGAAAGCAATTTAGTTCAACAACTACTTTGCCAGTTTGTAACATTCATCCACATGTCTATGTGCATGTGTAGGAGACTGGGGGTGAGACGCATCATATTTTTTTAAAATGGGAAGAAATAATTCCCTAAAAGCAATGTTAAGATTAGCGTTTAAGCTCATTCAAACATTTACCGAGTGGTACTGTAATATGAGGTAAATGAGCTCTAAAGATGAAAGCAATTGGTTCTCGGTTTTGGAGTACTCAGAGTCTATTGGAAGAAATAGTTTGAAATAAGGATAATTTTAACTTCAATAGAATGTGTGCTAAGTTAGAGATGAGCACATGTTTTTGTAAGAACTCAGGGGAGGAGCAGTTAACCCTTTAGTAGGTTATGTAGAGTTTTCAGCAGGGTAGGAAACTTGAGCTTTAAAAGACTGCTTCTAGCTGGTAAAATTAGGGAGAGGGACCTTGCTGGAAGAAGGAAAATGCTGAACAAAGACATAAATGTCTGAAAGAGTTTAAAGCATGTGTATAAAACATTCATCTCGTCACTGTTGCTGGAGCATCATGTTTGTGGCATACAGGACCATAGACTCAGGAGGCCAGGTTATTTTTCTTTTCAAGCTGACAGGTAGCTCTTTGAAAGGGTGGTAGTGTGGCCTGATTAGCTTTGTTTTAGCTGTACTTTTCTACAGTGTGGAAGGTGAGTTCAGGAGAGTGCTGCACTGCAGGTAAGGAACTGTTAATGTGTTATTATATATTCTAGGCAGTGGGTGAGTGATGGATGTAAACTTTCAGTGGTTTCTTACTTTTTGTCTTGTTACTCATCAGAGTGCTTCCTAGTGTCAGGCTTCTCATCCCATGCCCCACTTTTATACACCCCTCTTTTAAGTTATTTGAAAATTCAGTGTAATTAAATAATGTAACTTTAAAGCAAAGACTAGACAAATACTATTTTGTTTTCAAATTGCACTTGCCTTTTTGGATACTCTGATGCTTACTGTCTTTGAAAAATTACTGCCGTAGGACTAGGAAGAGGAGTGAGTCACAGACCTCTCTAGAAGGAGGAATGGAATGCTAATCATGATCTACTATTCTCTGCAGTGTTGGAAGAATGCTTTGCTTGCCTGGAGTCAGGTGACTATTTTGTTACTGAAGTATGGTGGAACTCAGTAATTTTATGGAATGTAAGAAAAATTTCCTGTATTTCCTAATGTAACTTCTAATATTGAAGAGTGACAAATTTGCAGTGTAACATTTAAGTTTAGTAAATATTTCTTTTAAAGTACCCAAACCCTGCATTTGAATAAGATCCATTTACAAATTGATTTTAATGTATATTCTCTAATTTATTCTGATTATACATGTGAGATAGGTGTTATTGGTCTTTCTCCCTTCCTGTCTTCCTCCCTCCCTCCCTCCCTCCCTCCCTTCCTTCCTTCCTTCCTTCCTTCTTTTGTCCCTCACTTCCTTGCCCTATTCCTCCATTCCTTTTGATTCAAATCTGGGTTATTTTATGTCTTACTTAAACTCAAGTGGAATTTCTACTATATCACAGATAAGTACGGCTGAATTTTTGTCCTTCAGAGCCTGTAAATCTAATGGTGGTCAACAGCACTAAGTCATAATATGAAGCCTAAGAAATAAATAAGAAATATAAGCACTGCATTATGAATTTAAAGAAAGAAATTTATATTTTTCACATTTTAACATTTGTAATATTGGCAAACATCTTTTGAGTTGATGGCATCTTAGAAAGTATACTTTGGGAATAATACAGGCCTAAAGGTTCTGGAGGGTTAGGAATTTTGTTAAGTGGAGAAGGTGCTAAGAAAAAACACCCAGGCTTGCTAAAAGAATGATACTCTGGGGAACTGACTTCTAGGACTCAAGAATTACAGAAGAGGTAGGCTGAATTTATGTAATGGGAGACTTTGACGATCATACTGTACAGAGGTGGACTTTTATTCTGTGGTGAGTAGGAAGGACTTTGAGAAGTCGAAAATATGTTTTAGACTTTGAATTTCTTGATTTATATTTGGGAGTAAACACTATTGCAGAGAAGAGGAATTGAAATCACATTGCTCTGAAGTTATGGCTTTATAATTGGAAAGAAAAGAAATAAAGATGTTACGGAAGTAGAATGGACAAATTGGTGACTGAATTGTGGTGAGATAACTAGTGTGGATGACTAGGATTGTAGCATCTGTTAGCTGTTCTGGAGTTAGGAATTTTTCCTAATTTGATCTTTGTGAGGATATGTTTCCTTCCATCATGCAGTGAGCAGAAAGTAGGGAAATTTTGTTCTGGAAGTCAAAAGAATGATTAGGACTGATGATAAATATTTAGGAGCTAAATGTAGATTAAGTTCTAATTGAATGCATTTCATTATAACACATTCTTAAAGAGAGTAAAGAGAGAATATTTGAGAGCCAAGGAAAACTGTATTTTTAACCGCTTTTTTTGAGGTATAATTCACATACCAAACAATCCACCTGTTTAAAAACAGACATTTTGTTGGCTGTCTGTCAGATACTTAAGAAGTTATACAACCATTGCTACAAACAATTTTAGGTATGTGTGTATGTATGTATCTGTTTATGGTTCTGGAGTTTAACTCAGGGCCTCATCCTTGCTAGGTAGGCAGGTATTTTACCACTTGAGCCATGCCTCTAACCCCTTTTTGCTTTAGTTATTTTCTGATAGGGTTTCATGGCCTCAGATTGTGATCCTTCTAGCTATGCCTTCTGCATAGCTGGGATTACAGTTGGGATAGCACAATGCCTGGCTTATTTTTTTGAGATAGGGTCTCACTAGCTTTTTGCACAGGCTGGCCTCACACTGTGATTCTCCCACTCTCTGCCTCCTGAGTAGCTGGGATTGTAGGTGTGTACCACCATGCCTAACCTACGATAAAACTCTTACAACATTTTTATCACCTCCCTCAAACAAACTTTCCACTACCACTTTCCATTTATGCAAAAAAAAAAAGGCATTGGAATTTTGATAGGGATTGCATTTAATTTGTACATCCCTTTGGGTAATATTAGTATTTTAACAATGTTTTCCCATCCATGAACTTGAGATATCTTTCCACTTACGTAGGTCTTATGTAGTTTCTTTCAGCAATCTTCCAGAATTCCAGTCTTCCACCTTCCTTGTTAAATTTATGTTATTCTTTTAGATGCTTTTATAAATGAAACTGCTGTCTTAATTTCCTTTTTGGGTTATTCACTGTATATATAAGGGAACACAACTGATTTTTGTATGCTGATATTGTTTGTTTTAATATCTTTCTTATGGATTCTTTGGAATTTCCTATTTATTAGATCATTTCATCTGTAAATAGAGGCAATTTTATTACTTCTGTTCCTATTTGGATGCCATTTATTTTTTCTTGTCTAATTTGTCCATTTGAAATTTCAGTATATTGTTGAATAGCAGTGGTAAAAATGGATATCTTAGTGTTTTTCCTGATCTTGAAGGAAAGTTTTCAGTCTTTCACCATTAAGTATGCTGTCAGCTCAGATTTTTTTTTTTTTTATAAGTACTCTTTATCATGTTGAGGGTTTGTCCTTCAGGGTTTAGTTTCCTAAGGGTTTTTTTTTTTTTGGTTTCCTATTTCAGTCACAAAAGAATGTTTGGATATTGTCAAATGCCTTTTCTACATCAATTGATATGATTACATTTTTTTATTACAATGTAATAGTGTATATTATATTGATTTTCTTATGTTGAACCATCCTTCCTGTGATAAATCACACTTACAATGGTATATAATCTTAATATGCTGTTGGGTTTGGTTTGCCAGAATTTAGTTGAGGATTTTTGCATTTATATTTATTAGTGATATTAGACTATAGTTATGTTCTGTCTTCCACCATTTTATCTTTCTGTTGTTTGTCACAGAGTCCATGTTTATGCATTGTGTCTCATAGCATGGATTTATAATTATCATTTTGCATTGTTTTCAAAATCTTATAGGAATTTAGCAATAAGGTTACAGACCAAAGAGTATAACAGTAGTAGTTTTTATATTTGTCCAGATAATTCCTTCATTAGAGATACTTATTTCTTCATAAAGCATAGAGTTACTTTCTAATGCCTTTTAGATTTAAGGACTCCCTTTAGCATTACTTGTAAAACAGATATACTGCCACTGACTGTGTTAGCTTATGTTTATCTGGAAAGGTTTTAATTTCTCTCCTATTTTTGAAGGATAGATTTGCCAGAAATAGAACCCTTTTTTATGTTTCTGAAATTTTAAAATTTAAGTTTTTTAAAAAATTTTATTTGGGTTTGCAATTATATTAGTTAGTATTACCCAGAGAAACAGACCCACAGGAGAATATAGATGGAGATACACATGTATGTGTGTATATATATATATATATATATATATATATATATATATATATATATATATA